AAAACAAAACCACGCTAACCATGCGTTTCTGACAGGTTATAGCCCATGTGCTGTTCCTGGCTTAACGACTGAAAATATTTGTGTGCAAACTTCCACATTTTGAGTAACACCTGAAAACATATGCAGCAAGAAGATGGTTAGGACTGATACACCCTGGTAAAGATGGATGCTTGCCTGCCTTCCTCATCTTCCCCTTATCCTCTCTGTGAACCTGCAGTCTTCTTTCTCTTATTACCCCTAAAATACATAAGAGTGGTTGTATTCCCATTTTTCTGACTCAGAATGCAAAAGGACTGGCAGGTGGAAGGAAGGGAAGCACATAACAAATGCAGGACCACCACCACACCTCTGCATTCCACAGCTCCACTGCTGCTTCCACTCCACCTGAAGTACTGTGTTCTCCTCTGGAGTCCCCAACATAAGAAGGATGTGGGTATGCTGGAGTCCAGAGGAGGCCACCCAGATGATCAGAGGGTTAGAACACCTCTCCTACAAAGACAGGCTGAAAGAGTTGGGGTTGTTCACCTAGAAAAGAGAAGCCTTCCAGTACCTACAAACAACCTTCCGGTACCTACAAAAAAGATTAAGAACATTTTCCTAGGGCTTGTGGTGACAGGCCAAAGGGGAGTGGCTTCAAACAAAGACAGTAGGCATGGATTAGGTATGAGGAAGAAATTCTTTGCTGTGAGAGTGGCAGGACACTGGACCAGTCAGCTCAGCAAGGTTGTGAATGCCTCATCCCTTGAGTGTTCAAGGGCAAGCTGGATGGGGCTCTGAGCAACCTGGTCTAGTGGAAGGTGTCCCTGTACACAGCAGGGGATGGAACAAGATGGTCTTTAAGGTCCCTTCCATCCCAAACCATTCTATGATTCTGTGATTCTAGTCAGCAATACAGAAAAGGGAAAATATTAGCTTGCTTACAGATGATTCCCATTACACATCCACTTTCAAGTCTTCCAGCCCCAGGCTACAAGCCCAGGAGAGAAAGACAAGGCTGCATATGGGGGGAAGAAGAAAAGATATTAGATTTAATATTTTGAAGCCCTGGGAATGTGGTTACTGCTGCTGCTGTCCTGCTGTGTTTGCCTTTTGAGTCAATTATATATCTTTAGTGAAATATATTAATTGCCACACCACAGCTTTGGTAAGTATCTACATACTGAAAAAAATTAATAATAATAATAATAAGTAATAGTATAATATATATTATAATAAACAAAAAAATATTTCTAGAAGGAACTACATTACATCTACCAGTGATTGACCACCACGTAATAATGAGGAAAGATAACTGGAATTTAAAGCATGAAAAAAGTCAAGTGATAGGAAGTTTCTAGGGGAAGCACAGAATCCATTATATTTTTAATATTCTTTAAGCTATATGATACAATTAAACAAGGAGGAGTGTTGTCAGAAGTATTCAAATTTTTCCCATGTCCACTTATAGATTTCATTTCAATCCCAAAGAACACCTAATTAAGCCCTTAGCAGCATAAATAATTATTTTTTAAAAATGTGGAAATTAAAATATTTTTCTGATTATTTGATGAAACAAACCATTAAAAATTCATAAGTTGTTCACAAATAAAATGTGCAGCAGACAAATAATATGCCTACCAGTCAAGCTATCTTTGTAGGAATTAAGGAAATCTAAAATTGGCAACATGGGCCACTTTTTGGATAATTGTGATAGACAAGAGATCTGAACATTCCTATTCTTTACAGGAATCACCATTTCCAAATGTAGACTAACAGTTTCTTGCTATCATCATTTCATTACAAATGTAAGCATTTTAAACTCACAGATACAAAGTTTATATGTGATTTATATGGCTTTAATATGGGATGAAATAATATTTTTCCTATGGTGGAAAAACAGTTGGAATATAATATGTTTAAATAATGTTTATTCAATGGACATGTGTGCAACATGAGAGAAAAGATTTGTCTCTATCTTTGCCATGTTTTGGAAAAATACTTGCATTTGATTGTGGGTTTTTTCTGTGGTGTTACCTAACAATTTTTATTAAAATTGCATCCATTTTCATAATTAGACACTTATATTATTTCAGTACTTGTTATGAAGATCTGTACTCATTATGTTCTTACTTATTCTCCTTCCATGGATGTAAACAGCAAACCATGCTCTGAATCTGCCTTGCAGACCAGTGAATCATGGTTGTGATATGAACCAATGGTTGCATGACAGGTACATGTTGGTTTCTTAGTCACTAAAGACCCAATCTGATCAAGAGTGGAAAGCAAAAATGATCAATCCTTTCTCCCAAACCATCTCCCTTTTGGTCTGCACCATTAGAGAAAGAGAAATTAATGCATTTCAAAGTTGCTTAGGTTCCAAAAAAATGCAAATACAAATCCATTTGTATTCTACTGACTGCAAAAATAAGGTAAAAAACCCCAGACATACTGAACAAGAATCTCTAACATGTAAAAGCAGTAAAAGCCATAATAAAATTATGACCATTTAGCCATGCCTTGAAGAGACAGAAGGCACCATGAGCTTGCTTTTAGAGAAGTGACTTGCACAGCTGGAGACTTAAGTGAGCTGATTTTTCTGATTTAATTCTAAATGTGTATTTTACAGACATTTAAATATAAGTAGCCTCCATATGCCTTCTTTACAGTCAATGTAGAGAAAGGGCACTTTCAGGATGCAATTCGTTGGTCCTGTTTTCAGCACCTAGTCTAAAATGAGATTAATTGCAAGCACATATTTCTCTCGATAGGCAGTACAGGTGTCTAGGTGAGTAAAAAAGTCTAGATGAATTATTGGAGATACCTACACATGGTAAGATGGATCCCATCCTTAGATGCAATCCTTAGATGATTTGACTCACATGAGCCAAATTATAAGCCGGGGAGAACATAGTAGAACCCTTGTGTAGTCCTCTAGACAAATGTCTAATGATCCTGAATTGTGTGAGAAAAAGAACTCTCAAATCAAAACATGATTTCACAGGAAGAGTGAAATGGGAATTATGAGACAGGTGAATGGCTTGCAAGGGCATGAACTTGTATATTTTAACTAAATAGTCTGAGTCACATACTGAGAGATGTTGAGAGATGCCAAAATAAGTAGTCAGGTGCTTAACTCAGCACTTAATTCTGTGCTTGGTAAGACTCCAGAAACAGAGAAAGAGTTTCTAGAGCTTAGGAAAACACACCTGGACAGTCCCATCAGACTATCAGAAGAGTTCAGCCACCTGATACGAGAGAAAGACTAAAACATACAAAAAAAATTTAGAGAGGCTTTCATTCATCTTAGCTACTCTTCACTTATACAGCCCCTGATAGAAGAAGAGAGCTCCACATACACCATCCCATAAAAGAAATTACTTACACTACAGCAACAGGAATGGTATTAAGAAATAAGGCATTAATGGCTAAGTAATTTTCCAAATCTGTTCACATCTGAATGTAGAATCAAGCCTCCTGCCCAAGCTGAAAAATGTCTGCCTTCTGAAATACAAATGTCAGATAAACAGATTAAAAAAGTATGCAGATTATGAGTCACCCTGTAATAAGTAGCATTCTCAGCTAGCTGGATTTAATTCATGATACAAGGGAATTTATGGCTACAGTCAGTCTGATGGCTCACAAGTATCAGTGACCTCTTTACCAAAAACAAAACATTGTTTCCCAGATAGCAACTGCCTATCATCATAAAAGGGAGAGACAGGAAAAAATAAAAAACTTCTACGTACATAATTATTTATCCTTAGCAGATGTTTACACCATATTTATCATCAAGTCTTTGCTTGCAAGAAAAATAGGTAATAATAACAGGCAATATTTTTTAAACAGAGTTCTTCAAATTCAACAGGAAAGTGTCAAAATTAAAATAGTAGTAAGAATGTCAGCTCTCAAGAGCGGAAAACAAACAAACAAGCAAGTGTATTTAAAGAGACATTTCAGAGATTAAAGTTCTCTTAAGGGAAGATAATATTTCCCTATTCTCCCTGCACCCCAAAAGGCTTGGATGAGACCACTTAGATATGTATAACTGCACTCAGAAAACCTTGAATCAATATTTAATATTACAACTTTAATTGAAAACCAACACCATAATAATAATAATAAGTGAGCATCAGCACTCTGAACTGCACAGAAAGCAAGTTCTGCAGCCAGGTTGAAAGCTCCCCTACAGGAATTCCCAAGGGAAATCACAGAGGAAGTGTTTATCTCATTAGAAAAGGGCATGAACAGTGAATCTTTCCTTACTCTCAAGGGACTCCACGGAAAACAATATATCTGACTAAAGAGAATGAGATTTGTATGATGTATTTGGACTCATGTTAACTCCTCTCTCAGTGTGGTGTGTCGGCACCTTATCTGATTCTAAGGGAGCCACATATTGCATACAGAAAGCAAGTTTTGTAACAGCCTAACTTAGGAGAAAAACTGTAACTGAAAAATTTATTCTCTGCTACAATAAAAATGAGTATGAAGTAACAAACAAGGAAGTGATTTACATCATCCTTTATTCTTTTCATCAGCTGAAGTATAAAACTGACTACCCATTAACCTCTCACTTCCTCAGCAATTTAATGGCTTTCTAAGTATAGAAATGCTCTTTCATTTTTTAAGAATGTCAGTATGAAAGCTTATGGGTTGCAGTTTCGCCCAAAATTATGGCAGTTCACCTCTCCAAAAGTTCCAGCCATTATATTGAAAACGAGAGCCTCCAAGTACCACTGGAGGTGGTGACTTCTAAATTACAAGATGCAAGTGCTCAAAGTGGCCCACATTATGCTTGCTCCAAGTAAGGCACCCGACGAACAGCTTCTGAGAGGATAAAAATGCACAATTGTTGCAGCTGCAATCGCTCTGCCGGCCAGGCTGATCTATTTATATTTTAGTGAAATCAGCACCGAAATAACTGCTTTTCAGACCGACAAAAACTCCGACCGTCCAAAGACTTCAATCCCCTCAAAATAACGCCACTACCCGCTCCTGCGTTTGATAATGTCCAAGCCCTGCCCAGGGAAGTCCCGCGGCGCCTCTCCCTCGGCTCCCCGCGGCAGCAGGGCTGGGGGCAGGAGGGACGCGGGGAGCCGAGCGCTGGCCCGGGGGTCAGCTGCCGCTCGGGGCAGCCCCGAGGGACGCGGCCTCGGCGGTCCGGGGCTATTCACGCCCCGCTGCTCCGCCGGGCTCCGCCGAGCCTGCCTCCGCCTTGCTGCCGGCCTCCGGCGGCTCCTTGTCGCCTCGGCCCTCGGACTTCTTGTTAAAGCAGATTTTGAACACCCCCAGGACGGTCATGACCAGGATGATCAGCACCACCACAGCGACTGCCACCAGGATGAAAACGTAGTTGGAAGAGGAGGAGGAGGAGGAGGGCGGCGGAGCAGCCGTCTTCTCTCCGCCGACGGCGGCCGTGGCGTTGGCGGGCGGCTCCGTGGAGCGGCCGGGTGTCGGGATGGAAGGACGCCGCCCCTCCGCCCTGGCGCCCGACGGTTCCGTGGGGCCACCTGTAGCGGTGGGGGCCGGCCCCGTGCCCGGGCAGGGAGTTCCATCCGGACCGCCCGGGATGCAGGCACAGGCGAAACTGCCGGCTGCATCGCGGCACCCGGCGGCCTCGGCGCACCGCCCGCTGTGGGGGCTCCTGCGGCCGAAGGGGCAGGGGCAGAGGGGCTTCTCTGCCGCCTTCCAGGCGAAACCGCCCGGCTCGGGCTGGCAGGTGAGCCGCACCTCCCCGCCGGGACACGCCACTGTCAGCACGGTGCCCGGCGGGCTGAAGCCGGGGCCGCCGCTGCGCTCCTCGAAGGGGAGCCGGTAGTCGAGGTCGAGGGCGCCCGCGGGACTGAGGTCGGGGCAGGCGCCCTCGTACTGGTACTTGCAGAGGTAGCCTGGGCTTTTCAGCCGGCAGACTCGCTCCTTCCAGCCCCAAGGGGGGTCAGCCGCCAGGTGCAGCCCAGCGCAGCGGGCGGTGAGGCAGGACCGCAGGGGCTCCTGCAGCCACCGGTCGAGCGCCGCCGGCACCTCCTGCGGGGCCGTCCCACCCCCGACGGCCTCCCAGGAGAAGCCGCGGAGCGGCTGCTCGTTGTGGGTGCAGGCGGAGGCGTTCCTCTTCAGCCCGACCCAGAAGAACGCGGGCGCGGGCATCACCGCCTCTGCCAGCAGGTCCAGCAGCAGGCGCAGCTCCGGCTCGCTGCTGACCCAGGCGAGGCTGCCCCGCCGCTGGTCGCAGGCGCCGCGGGCCTCGGCGTACGAGACGTTGGCGAGGTGGGCGCTGAAGCAGGCGCCGGCGGACAGGCAGCGCACGGCGCCCCGCGGGGGCGGTGGGGTCCGGCCCAGGGCGCAGGCCGCGGCCAGGAGCAGGCACCAGGGCCCGGCCCGCCTCATGCCGGCGGCGGGACGCGGCGGGCTGAGGGACGCCGGCTGCCCCTGCGGCTGTGGTGGCGTTCGGACCCGGCTTGGACTGGCCTCTGCTGCCCGCGCCGTCCCTCTCCAGCGCCGGCCCCGCTGCCATGGCCCTCCCCCGGACCTGCCGGAGGAAACGTGTCGGGAGCCGTGGCTGACCTCGGCATCCTCCGTTTGTTGGAGGGCCCAGGACAAGCAGCTCCCGGCGCCGCCAGGAAGCGCTCGCCCAGCCCGGCGGGCGGGTGTCCAGCCGCCGGGTAGGACGCTGCCTTCTCCGCTGTCGGAGGGACAGGAGGGTGGCGAAGCCCTGAGCCGCGGCTGTCGGACCGAGGTCACGGTCCCGGTTTTAGGCCCGTGCCCCCGAGATACCCGGGCCATCTTGCTAGCTTGTTGCACAGCGCTTTCTGGAGAAAAGCGGTCCAGCTTCAGTTATCTCTTCCTTGAAGGATGTAGATTTCTTGGTTAGGTGAAGCTGTGCAATCAACCCCGTAGCTCCCGAACCAGGGGGCCGTTTAACAGTCACAAAATTTGATTCAGCTCTCGGTTTTCCAGCAGGTTGGCCTAAGTGCATCATGCATCAGGTGCCTGCATTGATTTCGGTAGTAGTTCCTGAATGAGCTTCACTGATCCACTGCAACTGTTCCTCCGAATGTAGTCTTTGCCTCGTTTTCATACTTACTATTGTTTCTGTGTGCTGTTGCCTGACATGTACATTCAGGTACAGCACGGATCTGAGTGTCTTCCCAGGTATTTTATGTGGCGTGGAACTGCAGGCATATATGTGCATTTTGTTTTCCAGGTTTTACTTTGGAAAAACCCATGTCAATGTTTTTGGTTTTGTGATTAAAACATAATACAAATTTCTAGTATTTGAATGAAAAAGCAAAAAGTCAATAATTGATCTGGAGTCTTTAAAACATAAGATTTCTCAGTAATTGCAGTCCATTTGGGTGCCAGTAGTCTTGATTTTATGGAAAATAGGTTTTCATAGCAAAATAAGAACTTGTTGGTTTAATTCTAGATGAAATTGGATTTTTGGTTAATCGAGGTGTCGAGATAACAGCCACCTAAGTCAAAGTTTGCAGTGCTGTAGCAGCTGTGTATTCGGAGCTATGCTGCTTACTGGAATTGTAACTCTTGCATTCATTCTTCTCCATGGTGCACCAGGGCAGAAGCATTGAGCTATTTGCCTGTGTGGGTCAGCACATGGAGATTCTTACTGCCTGCCTGCATTTTAAGCCAGAAAGATGCAATTCATTTTGCATCAGGAAACTTTATCACCTGCTATTCACATCCCTAATTCTTCACTGGATCCAGCTTTAAATGTACCCAAACTAATTGAATTGTTCCTTGAGCCCCTTGTTTTTCTTGATGATGTACAAAAGCTGTGCTTCTGCATGTACCTGTTAAGTTAGTATCTTGAGCCATTTTCCCCAGATCTGGTTGGTAGGTTTGAGAGAGAAGAGAGCTTGTTGCAGCTTTACAATTGCCATTTTACTGGGAAATGCCTACAAGGCTTTGCCTAATATTCCACTGCAATCCTACAGCTTCGCTTTGTTTTCTCTTTCAAAACTGGGTTCATTTATTACAGCCAAACAGAAGCTAAACTTTATAAATAGAAGGAATAATGTAGAAGCCCCAAATTTTCATGTTATTCTTCAAACCTAGGACTCTGTCACTGAGGGGGAGAATGCAGCTCAATCTTGCATCTCTTCCCAGCTCTCAGCCAAGAGCCTCTTCAAACCTAGGACTCTGTCACTGAGGGGGAGAATGCAGCTCCATCTTTCAATCTTGCATCTCTTCCCAACTCTCAGCCAAGAGCATGATTTGAGCCATCTAGGCTGGCCTCTCTACCAGGTAATTGGTGGCTATTACTGGCTCATTTCACTTTAATGACTTTAATTTCCTAGGCTATATATGAACCAGCAAACTGGCAAACCAGTTTAGAAACAATAAGTTAGCCACCAGTGCCCTGTGCAGTCCAGTCTCATCGTAGGAACTTGTACTGCACAGAAAGATGCAAATACTGTATTGCCAAAGCTGAAGCTTTTTGCCAGCTGAAAACAGAGGCAGTGGCTGTACATCTACTTGACCTGCCTGTATATCTGCTCTCTTCTTCTCTTGGTGCCCCTGAATGTCCTGCAAAATATTTAAAAAATAACAGGTCTGCTGGATCTCCAGAAAACAGCTCTTCTGGGTTTTTTATTCTTTCTCATTCTTACATTTAGGTAAATAAGAAATCACTCTTCATGGGACTTTTTCTGGAGAAGTTCTCTTTTGAAAGAAGACTAGCTACTCCCACACACATGTGAGGCAACTAAACTGCTACATATAAAGAAGGCTTTATTACACAAACATGAATGTTACAAATGGTGGATGTATAAGCTGTAATGTAGCTGTTGCTTTCAATAGTTAAAGCCTTATTTAGACGTAGTCATTCTTTAGTCTTTTTCCTGTAAGATCTTAGCCCCTGAAAAAAACAGTGGTTTGCTTTAATTGCATTTTAATAGCAGCCATTATGGTTTAATTTTATTTCATTATGTAACTGTATTTATCTTATAACAACACATACATTTTTACTAAGGAGCTGTGTGAGAAGTCCTGAATTAATAAAACTACTTTCCTCTTTTAGGGTGGATTCCTTTTTTATTTTTATAAGGTAGGTTACAACTATTCTTTTTGCAACTAACCAGGAAATATGTCATCTGTATATCAGTACATACTTTGCTACTTCTAGGGCCTAAGGGGCTGTATTTTCATTAGAAGTAGTCTTGTTGAGGGATACAGTATCCAGATCTTGCTAAGAACCATATTTTACTTCTCAGAGGTAGATAGATGGCACAGTATAGATGCCTTGCTTTCAAGGGGACAAGTGAAATGATTGTGTCACACTAAAATGTGTAGAGCATAAGGACAGTAAATTTCTCTTCCCCAAAGGGAATACAGGAAAACGTCTGGAAATAGATCTGTCTGACCTGTTATGCAACAGAACCTGGAGAAAATATCTAATATCAGAAGCAGCTATCTTTTCTGCTAGTGTAAAGGGGGGCTGCTGAGGTTCACCTCCATTTATCACCTGGTTTGTTGCATGATAGAGATTTGTTTGGGGCTGGAAACTATGGACAGGGAGCAAGGAATAAAGATCAGTATTCTGGGAGCACTGCCTGTTTGCACAGCTTCAGCCTTTTCGTTTGCTGCAGCCTTGCAGAGTCTACGCCATTTATCTGTGGTCAGGTTGTACAGTCCCTAGGAGCTCTCCCCTTCCCTCTGATCCCAGCTAGTATCTCCACTGGATCCAGACATCCTTCTGCTGAACTTGTTGTGGGTAAAGTCAAAACTTACTTCCCATCTTTCCGTGTTCTGCTAAGGTATAGGTTATAATTTAAATAACCTAATGTAAACAGGTATTTTAAAAAGTGAAAATTGCTGTCACTTGGCAGCAATTGCCTCAAAAATTATGCATTAAATTTTCCTTTGGTCACTAAGTGCTCCATGAAACAATATCTATATAATATAAAAAAATATATAGTATATTATGGTATAATATGTAAATATATATATATATATATATGGTTTATCAAATAAGGCAGCCCTACATTTCACATGTAACTTGTGCTTTGGCAAAGTATTTTCTCACAAAACAGTTATATTATTCTTTAAGAAAATACTTTAGTTTTAACAATAAGACCGTCTTGAAGTCAATGAGAACCAGTTTATTTCAACAGTGTAACAAGATTTCTCGTTAATTTCTCTGCATTCAGTCAAACTTGCAACAAGGAGTAAAAATGCCAGGTGGAATCCAGCATCCTTTCGTTACTTTTCCAGAGAACAGGATAGGAAATTAAAATAAGAATTTCTGCCTTATTGTAACAAATAGCACGATCATAAGAATTTAATTATTCATCTCTCAAAAGGACTTTGTAGATTATAAGGTTCACTTACAGAGTTTGGAAAAGACAACCCAGCAGGGGTCATACAAGTCCCTGTCTGCTGTAATCATAATTTCCAGTGACATTATCACAGAGCTATGGGACTTAATAACAAGGAATGATATTTAACTGCTGGTATCAACACAGTGGTATATCTATTACGTTTGTGACATAGACATAAAATATAACTAATCCTGACCTGCTAAGGGGACATTTAGTAGATGAACTGCATTGATGTGGCTGTAGCATTATCCCATATGCATACGTCCCCCTTAAAGCCTGACCAGTTTATATGTTCTTGTTTCCATTGCTAAGTATGCAAGGAAAAATGTATTCTGTTACTACTTCCACTCGTCTTTAATGAGTTATTAAGGAAGATTCCATTCTGTAATTAGCTAGGGGAAATGAACTCCAGAACTCTCAAATTAAACACACTAAATCTTTTCCAAAAATTATGTAGAGTATAAATATTTTTTATTCTCACTCTAGCTTACTCCCTTCCTTTTATTGACTGGATAATTTGTACTAGTTCCATCCCAGCCTTCAAATTCTTCACATTTCCTGTATTATGTAGCACAGTCTGGCCCCACATGAGCTTTGTGCTTAGCATACATTGGCGTGAGGGCGTCCTCAAGAACTGGAGGTTGGTATGGCCATATGGTCTATTTTGCCATAAAAAATGGCAGAAATAGTAAAACCACAAATGCATTGGAGAGGAGAGGAGAGGAGAGGAGAGGAGAGCGAAGAAGAAGAGAAGAGAAGAGAAGAGAAGAGAAGAGAAGAGAAGAGAAGAGAAGAGAAGAGAAGAGAAGAGAAGAGAGAGAAGAGAAATCAGCACAGGGGAAGTTAAAGGAATAGAGAGCTGCAGCACAGAAAAAAAAAAAAAAAAAAAACACAAGTAGGCAGGAAAATAAGGCATATACACAAAAAAAGTGAATAGGGTCGAAATCAAAAGAAAAGAGAGAAGTGAGATCATTCACCAGTGCTGAAGTACCAGAGTGGCAGAGGGAGCCAAGAGGCCGTGTCCATGCTGCCACTGCCCAATGTGGCAGCACTGGTGTGTGAGCTGGTGCTGCTGCCCACGGGCATGTTTGCACAGCTGGGCAGCCCCTACAGCAGCCTGATGCCACATGGCTGTG